GTGAGCATGCTTGCTTGAATGACGACACAAGGCTCCCTATTGAGGAAGCCTTGCCTCTCGATTTTGGCCATGACTCGTACGTATGCGATCCTTGGCACTAGCATGGTACCAAACGCAGTGAGTTGCATGAGTGGCACGGCTGACCTGGCCTCAAGCCTCTCTAAAAGCTGCCGCAAAATTGTGTGATCATACCTGAAAGGAGGGTTCTTTCTTTGGCTTCCCAACGTTTGGGTTTCAAATGTCAGAGGATCTTCCATGGGAGGCAACGCCTCTTGGGCTCGGAGAGCGTGTTCCTCGTGTTTGCGTAAAACTCTGCACTCGCCGACGGAAGCCGAAAGGATGCGCGATCCACGTGAGAGCCTGCGGTTTCGCCAGCATTTCCATTGCAAAGACGGGCGGCCCAAGAAGGGAGGGCGTAGAAACCACCTTGTTTGCAGCAAGGGGAGGGAAGGCCGTCCATTTCGTGTGGCCAGTGAGATAAACTTGATCATTTCGAAGGGCACTGCAAATGGGTATCACAAACTCTACGACAAAGAGAAAGGATTGCAGTTGTTTGCCTTGGATCATCCAACCAAAAAAGTCAGCGGATGCACATGGCTGCGTGAGGCAATGAAACCGGGACGTGGCACTTGCTGCAGACCAACGATGACAGCAACAAGCTGCCAGCCGACATCCGTCGGCCACTGACACAGTTTGACCTTTCCAAGCACAAGCAGGAGGAAGCTACTCGGCACTGAATTTGACTCTTGGCACACTCTCCAACTATTGTTGGTAGGCATAAATCCCCTTGCAACCGATGTCCACCAAAGCGTTGCCGAGTCACACCTTTTGACATTGTCAGCTTCGTGCCTGTCACAAGGCGCTATGAAACCTCTCAAAGCGGCCAAACTAACAGTCTAATAGTCTAATGATGTATGGTACTTTGCTCAATTGGGGCTCTTTTGCTTTCCACTGGATGCAGACTCAGAATCCAGAATCCATTCATGGCACACTGAAATGATGTCCGACGTCATGGCGCCATGCTTTTGCGTGGCCGGGCTTGGCATCACATAGTCCAGGCTCTGGTGAATTTGGAGGGCTGTATTGCGTGGGGGGTGCACCAGTCTTGCAGGAGATAGCAGACTCGTGCTGGGGAAGGCCCCACTCAAAGGATTGGTAGTGAACAAGGATTCGACTTGATCGCGGGAGAAGCCGCATACATTCATGCGAAAGAGGCGGTTGCTGAGGTGTCACCAGACTTTGTGTGGCGCTATCTGGAGCACATGCCGCTGCACAGTTCTGTCACAGTCTTCTCTGTGCTGGCCGTGCCGCTTCTTGACTGCACTTCAAAAAGTGAGGTGGGCAGATTTGAAGGATTGCCTGCGTAGACAGTTGTGATTGCGATATCAGCCCCTATTTCAGATTTGAGAATGGGTCCAAGTTTACAAAGGCGCAGGGGTGTCCTGTTGACAACCAGTCAAGAGAGGTGGGATTTTGGTTCAGAGGTCTTTGTGTGTCCTTGCCAGTCCAAAAAGGGTCCCAATTTTAGTTGAATCTCTGCCTTCTCGTCTCTCGTCTCTCGCGCCTCGACTCGGGGCCATTGAACTGCATAGTGTGGATTTGTAGTTCTGTCTGCATTGAGCATACTACCCATACCATTCATTCTCAAGAAATACGTTCGAAGATTTGCGTTCTTTCAGGGCCGGCCGGAAGATGAAATGTCACAGGCACATATGCACTGACAATGCAATGGTATGGTCAAAAACAAGGCCCCACAACCTCGCTGCTGGCTTTGCGGACAAGACCACGCGCCCCACGCTCCGGTTGAAAATGAGCTCCGCGCTGCCCTGAGGCAAACTGGCTATTGGTTTACAGCCACACGATCAGAGAAGCTCGGATGGTGAATGATTGAAACTGCGCTTTGTGCTTTGTGAAGTATTGAGTTTCACTGGCTGCAAGAAGCCAAGTGAGTTTGCGACAAGCCAAATTCCACTTTGCCAGCCTGAACAGCTGAGGCCGGCCCCAAAGGTGCCTTGGAAGAGCAATCAGAGTTGCAAGGGTGTTGGTCTCCCGTGGAGCTGATTTCAGGGATCTGAAGGAAGGCTGAGCAAGGCTTGAAGCCTTGGCAAGGCGGGGCGTAGGGTCCCTGCATGGTTTCAGTCTTGGCCGTATCGCAAATTGCATTCTCTGATGGCAAAGGACAGTTTTTGGCCTCACGGCATCCCACAGTGTAAAACACAAGGCACATAGCCTTTTTCATAGTGGGTGCCGACCAAATACTGCAAGCAGAAACGTGGTTTAGCCTAGCGGTGAGTTTCGGTTTTGGGCTTAGGGTTTAGGGTTGTCCATGTTTTACAGATGTGGTCTTTTCCCTGTCCCGCTGAGTTTTTCGGGCCAAGTTGGTTTAGTTGTCCTCTTTGCCCACATAGTGGGAAGTGCGCATGTTTCCCTTCGGGATCAGATGTGTTTCGGTACTTGCGGCCACTGGGGTGGGCGGGTTTTGGAAGAAGAAGGAGCCAAAGGAGATCTCATCGCTCGCTTGTTTATGCTTTGGCACCAGGGCCATTCTATCCTGGATACTTGTGAAGATTTCAAGAATCACCTACACCATTATCTATTTACAAGTGACCGAATCACCGTGTCCACATAAACGTTGCAGCTTTGATCGAGGATTGTTGGCACAAGCAACAACCAGCTGACTCACAGCGCACATGCATTGTAAAAAGGGCAGGAATGCATAGGAAATTCCACGACTTTGCCAAGGTATTTGTTGTTTGTTTATTGTTGTTCATTTTATGTATTAATTAATCATATGTCTTCATGTTTGTTTGTTTTTGGAAGAAACAACACATTTGTTGAACGGCCTATAAAAGCCCAGCAAGCCGGTAGCTCTGCAGTTTTTACGACAGCGTGACACACTTTATTTTCTCCCGTTGAACCTAAGGGCTCCGCCGTGCCTTGTTGCCTGGCATCAATCCGCGCATTTATCAAGTCTCATTGCTACTGCTTCCAAGCCTATCCTCGGCCTTGGTAACATCTTCATCCCGAAATTGGCCGGCTGGGGGCAGAACATGGCATCTCTCTTTGGTTCTTCACAAGCAGCCATTGGGCAAAGCGGAAAACTGCACCGTGTACTCCAGCTCAGGTGAAGCCAGCGCTAGCCAGCGGTCGAGCGCCTTGTTAGCAGCAGACGGCCCAACAGAAGAGATCCTTGTGTGTGTTGAGTACTTCGACAGAAACTTTATGTGTGGCTTTGAAGGTTGATCATTTGCATGTGCGCTCGTGTCGGCATGCAAGTAAGTGAGTAAGTAAGTAAGTAAGTAAGTGTGTGTGTGTGTGTGTGTGTGTGTGTGTGTGTGTGTGTGTGTGTGTGTGTGTGTGTGTGTGTGTGTGTGTGTGTGTGTGTGTGTGTGTGTGTGTGTGTGTGTGTGTGTGTGTGTGTGTGTGTGTGTGTGTGTGTGTGTGTGTGTGTGTGTGTGTGTGTGTGTGTGTGTGTGTGTGTGTGTGTGTGTGTGTGTGTGTGTGTGTGTGTGTGTGTGTGTGTGTGTGTGTGTGTGTGTGTGTGTGTGTGTGTGTGTGTGTGTGTGTGTGTGTGTGTGTGTGTGTGTGTGTGTGTGTGTGTGTGTGTGTGTGTGTGTGTGTGTGTGGTGTGCGTGTGCGTGTGCGTGCGCGTGCGCGTGCGCGTGCGTGCATGCGTAGTGCGGCGTGCGCGCGCGTGCGCGGCGTGCGTGCTGCGGCGTGCGCGCGCGCCGCGCGCGGGCGGGCGCGGGCGGCGGGCGGGCGGGCGGGACGTGCGTGCGTGCGTGCGTGCGGGCGTGCGGGCGTGCGTGCTTGCGTGTGTTTGTGTGTGTTTGTGTGTGTGTGTGAGGTGCCATCCTGGCAATCATGAACAGACAATGTCTGATTTTGGTGAGCATGATATCCAGGTGTTCACGGATTAACAGGTTTCCACCAACTTGGAGTGGGAAGCGCGGGGCTGTCCTTTCTTCCTTTCAGGTGTTGGTCGAACCATTGCAGGGTAATCAAGTAGGAAAGTGTTGGTGCCAAGGTGTGAGTCACTCGGGTGAAACGTTTTCCAAAACAGACCCAACTCATTGCACAAAAAGTCATAGCCTTCGAACACAAAGGATGTCCGTCACTCCGTCACTTAAAATCAGTGCCAGGGCTGGGCTTGCCGGAATGCAGGTTGGGGAATGTGCAGTGCGGGTTTGCGAATTCTGTTTTGTTTTGTGGCATTGGAGGACTTGTAATTGTATCGTCTAGGATGGTTTCCCCGCTCGCAACAGCTTTGCATCTGCGCAACTGTGCAACAGGAAACGTTGACAGCAAACTTTGCTACTGCTTGGTGGTGTGCTTACGTTTGCCTTGTTTGTGTGAGAGCAGCGCATTGCTGAGGTGGGCCATACAAAATGGGCACGCAGAGCCTTGCTCACGGCTGAGTAGCGGAATAAGGGCTAGACGCAGGCTATGCAGTGGACTGCTGATATTGTGATGATAGTTCCCGAAGCAATTGGAACCTGTGGCAGTGGCTGGGTGAAACCTTGCGCGGCACGCTGGGAACCACAGAAACAGCTGATGCCCTGGTCATAGTACCGGGTGATCAAAAAAGATGCCTCCTGGCAAGTCAGTCCTGAAGAGAAGGAAGCGACAGCTTGCGTCGATGTCAGTCTCTGGGAGGGACCTTTGCTACAATCAATGCATTCGTCAGGGCTACATAAATCCTTGTTCATTTTGTTCTTCCGAAATGGCTGAGCCAGCCCGCCAAGCCAATCCTTCCTCGCGTGCTTGTGTTTGAGCCCTCAACAACAGCCAGGGATTGATCATTGTGGACCTTACAAGCCCCCATCGGTGCTCGCATGCAAGCGCCAATTCGGAGGGATGTGGCTTGCAGCAGGCCGAACCCGCCTGTGTTCGGGAGTTCACAGTGGGAGCTCCGAAATGATGTGGAAACAACCTGCGGTGAGCCTCGCCCCTCGTGGACTCGTGGGGAACCCATCCATCGAGCCAGCGCCGCTCGCCAGGAATTGGTGGACTTCGCCAGGACGAAGAACGGTTACGCCCCGGGCCCAGGGACAGCAGCCGGAAAGGGTGATGCCGTTTATGTTTGTGTTTTTTGACCAGAAGCTTATGGAAACAGGCTGACTGGTTGCAGTCTGTGATCTCCCTTTGTTTGCTCTTTTCTTGCTTGAAGAGCAGCCACAGCTCGACTTTGGGAAGGGTGCACCGGTCATGCTCGCTAGTGTATCCCTTTTACCGCTGCACTCAAGCAAAGACCAGGGTTCAAACTTGATTTACTTTTTGCCAGTCAAGACTAGCTGTCTCAGCGTCTAAGAAGGTACCAGCATGCTGAGTGTTCGTTGGGGTGGCAGGCTGCATTGCATGTGAATACCATCAATACCCAAGCGATTCAGAGTATTAGCTAGGACTTAACCTCTGCACACATTAGTCATTGATTTGGGCCGGCCGCTTCTGTTTGCAGGGATGGACTTTCAGAGGCATAGATCATTATGTAAACGAACACAACCAATTGCAAGACAATTAACAATGGTTCTACCAGGCAGGACAGCTGCTCTGTCCCCCCCTTGCCTTGCTATTGTCACAGAGACTTCCATGTTCATTGCGCTTCGTCGCTTCCACCTTTTGCTGCTAAGTTGGTGCCAGAAGTGGCAGTTTTGTCCACGCCGCGGCCTCAGCCAGAGCCATCAAGCGCTGCAAACGGGTTGAGAAATTGTGGGCATGCGCGTTTGCTGGAGTTTCATGGAAACGTCCCGATTTGTGACCATGTTCAAGAGTGCTTGGAGGGCGTGAAAAGGGCCCATTGTGGGCGCCATGTCCAGCCTTCCATCCAAAGAAACCTCCACACCTGCAGCTGTGCGCAGCTTGGGTTCCTCATCGAATGAACCTCTTAGAACTGTACGCCTGTTGCTCAGAAAAATGAGTTTCTTGTTATTGTCGCTATCATTGCAGATCCTCTCTTTCCAGTTTCGATCCTCTAATAGTGCATGGTCAAAGCGCCCGTTGATTACCGCGCCTCGTTTGAATGTTGTCCTGCTGTTGTTGTTGATGTTGTTGTTGATGATAATGATGCCGGCGACGCTGACGACGACAACAGAGACGACGAACGAAGACAGTGGCGGTGGTGGTGGTGGTGGCGGTGGTGGTGAGCAGGAGGACGATGACGCTGACGACGACAATGACGATGCTTTGCACAGCAGTTGGGATGCTTTGTTCATACCAGGTGCTCTTGTGAGTGTTGCTTGGTTTTTCTTGCTTGTCATGCTTGTCGCCGCGTGTCTTTCTGTGTTTGTGTTTTGTCCCTTGCTCGCTGCTCGCTGCTGGCTGCTGGCTGCTGGCTGCTGGCTGCTGGCTGCTGGCTGCTGGCTGCTGGCTGCTGGCTGCTGGCTGCTGCTGCTGCTGCTGCTACTGCGGCCGCCGCCGCCGCCGCCGCCGCCGCTGCTGCTGCTGCTGCTGCGATGCTGCCAGTTGTTGGTTTGGGCCTTGACAAAGAACCTCGCCACTTTGAGACTGATACCTGAATCTGATAGAAGCCGTGTAGGATCAGGTTTCTCTCTTTTGCTGCTGTGGTTCTGTGTTTGTGTTGTCGAGAAGTCTGGCCATCGTCGGGCGATTTCCCCGCCTTTAACGACAAGCACTTGTCGTTCAGTTCAGTTCGGGTTGGACGGGCATCTCCACGACAAGTTCAGGAAGGGTCGCCCCACGGAGCTCGACCGGGGGAAGGGAGGGGGCCAGAGGGGGGCCAGAGGTGCAACCGCTTCGAGCTCTACTTCGCCTCCCCGGAGCTGAAGAAGTTCGCCGCCCTGGAGCCCGGGGAGCCCAGTGAGAAGCCGGGGGGTCTTCGAAGGGGAGGGCGAGAAGGAGCTTCCACTGGTTGATGAAGAAAGTTGCGGATAGTTGCAACCTTCCAGGTTTACAGATTTTACAGGAAGGAATCAGGGGCATCGCATTGAAGTAGATGGCAGAGTTGACTGGGATTGTTTCGGTTTGCACTGTGTTGTGTTGCGGCGTGGTGTTTCTGAGCAGCCCTTGCACCCTGGGTTGAAATACCGTCAGAGAACTATTCGGAGCGTTCGGGATCGGTTGGCTTGTCTACAGGAATCGCAAAGGTGTCGCGGGATGGCGCCGTCAGCCTGCGCAGGGCGGTGAAAGCTTTCCTCAGCCACAAGTCGGGCCTGTCTCGCGAGGAGGGGCAGCGAGTCACCTCAATTCCGGAAAAGAATCCGTGATCAGAGGTGTTATGAGGTGTTCTTTCACGTCAGAGTTAATGTTAAGGTCTGGTTTACAAAGGATCCAAGAATCTTTAGGCAAAGCAGGGCAACTTGAACCCATTTTCGTGCATCTTGGATCCAGCAATTGGGCCCCTCGTGGTCGCAGTTTGCATGCACCAACTTCTTGCTGCGAAACTGCCCCCTCCTGCAATGTTTGGAACAGTGAACATGGTGAGATATTTCTTGAAAAACGGTGATACACCTGAAACTGCCGCCTGGGCAAACACCAATCGTTTCAACCGGATGGAAATCAAAGCAGTAGAATGATATTCACGAAAGCAAGACGCTTCTCGAGTTTCAGCCCCGAGATCATGGTCTCATGGGGTGATGGCTTCTCGAAATTGCAAAATGGCCAGCCACTAGGGTTGAGCTCTGAGTTTGACTCACTACTCGGATTCCCTTTCACGACACAAGATCGTCAGAATCAATTTGTGGCTGTGCGGGGTCTCATGCAAAGAGGCTTCAAAATGTACCCTTTGAGTTTGGGTTGGGTTGTTCCTAAATATTAAAGGTTCGCATTTGTTGTGTGATGTTTTCAGTTTGTGCCCAACCCGCTAACGCACCAAAATGAGCCCAGCCCTTTTCCCACCTTAACCTATCCTCACCCCAAACCTCTCTAAGCCCGCCCTAAGCCCGCCCTAAGCCAACCCTAAACCCACTGTATCCCCACAACACCGGCCCATGTGTTTTGCTCCTACGAGTGGCCCAGTAAACATACAATATGTGCCCCGAAAAGAAGGTGGAAGCAGTGAGCAATACCACTGACAATCCAAGCAGGAGCCATGGGCAGGGTGGGCGAAATGCCATGCATTTCAGACGGAAACTGGAAGACACATCACGAAGCCAAGTTGGATAAAATAACGTGAGAAAGCAGCAACCACTTCCCTCCAACGGACGACCCCCGCAACACACCATCAAAAACAAGTCCCCTGTTTGGGGCACCATTTGGAGGTTTGCTTTTGGTTTCCCCTTAGACACCAAGAGGCCCCCCCCCCCGCGGGAAGGAGCTGGAGCCGTACCTCTTCAGCCACAACGGGGAGTCTGCTTGCTTGCACCTCTTCGAGGCGAGGCTTTGCCGATCCCCGGAATTCGAAAACGTGAATGGTGCAGAATGTGTGAACCTGTCCTCCATCTGTGGCCCATTTGGGGGTTGGGACACGGGCTCAATGAAGTTCAAGCGCGACATGCTCGCCATCTTCCCATTTCCACCGCGAGAACTGAGAGCCGCATATTTTGGGGGGGGCAGGTACGTTTTGAGATTTGGCCATGAGGAAGGCCATCGAAATGTTGCGGGCCTCCCTCAGTGAGCTGCAAACGAAAAGTGCAAACGAAAAGCAGGAGGAAATAAGAGGCAACATTGGCAAACCAAGTATCTTGGAAAGTGCCTGAACATGTTGACGCTCGGCCATTGAGCCCCCAGAAGGGCAATGAGACCACGCCGGTCTCCATGATGGCCCCCGGCTGGAGGAAGGTCGGACATTAGCACTGCCATGACCGTACTGAACAGAGCAGGCGACAATAGGCAGCCCTGGCAAATGGACATTTCCGCAACAAGAACTGAGATGGCTGTGGGTCAAAACCAATGGTACCATTTTGGGGTAGGTGCACCACCCATTTTAGTCTAGTTTAGTGGGGATTGGGATGTTCACTGGGGGTACGATCTGGATTTTGACCCATGGCCATATGGCCTGTGGAAACTTCTCGCCACGGAAACGCAGTGTCAGCTGACAGCGTCAGCGAATTGCCGTACGCCCGACTGAAGCCAAAGCTGCACACGGCGATGTTCTTCTTGCATTGAAGCTGGAAAGAGTATGGCCTGCCCCGGAAAATTTGGAGCAAGGTCGAGCTGATGCAAGTGAGTTGTGCTGAGAATATGTTAGATCCAGAGGGAAGGTCTGTAACACAATTTCGCGGCGCCTCTGTTACCTTGCCAGCGTACTTTGTTCTAACGAAGCTTCCGGCCCTGAACTTTCAAGAAGAATTGGCCGCTCGGGCTGAGTTGGACAAGCTTGCCAAAGTTTGCGGGGCACGCTGCAATTGTCAAACGGTTGTTGAGGCCTGCATGATGAGCGCAAGCTTCCGTACCATGCGAACTCTTTGTGCTTGAGACAGCCTGACATGCAGACTTGACACCTTCGAAAAAGGCTCCGGAAGATGTTCGACATTGTCCATTCTTTTTGCAGCCGGGTTGCCAACGACCTGCTGTCCGCGAAAAAGCTGGAGTAAAGGCTGCTAGCAAGACACTGCTGCAGAAACAGCTGATGTGGCTGGGAAAGTTCGCTGCGCGAGATGATGATGATGATGATGATGATGATGATGATGATGATGATGATGATGATGATGATGATGATGATGATGATGATGATGATGATGATGATGATGATGATGATGATGATGATGATGATGATGATGATGATGATGATGATGATGATGCAGTGCGGCAGGCTGTTTTCCGTTCCGCCTTGAGTGCAGTTTGGCAGCGGCGTTTTGCGTTGCTTCTTCGCCCATCAGTTTCAGTAACCCCGCACCGCTGGCAGTTTGTTTGTAAGTCCACGTATGCAACACGTATGCAGTTGCTGGACGGTTGGTTCCAAAAGCGAACATGTGTCCTTGCCTCGAGACATGTCTTTGCAAAGGGATCATATTTTGAGCGAGTCGACACGATTCCTTAGCCTGAGTTTGACATCGGGAAGTGAATATAGCTAAACCTTACGCAGTCTTCTCAGCTCAAAGGAGGAGGCTTACTGTAACTTGGACTGGCATCCGGACGCAGAGCTGACAGGTTTTGAAGGTGGCTTGTCATTCTGACATTGGCCCGTGTGCGGCACAGGCATCTAATGCCCAGCTTCTCAAATGCCATGTTTGCCCAACGCCCTGTCACTTTGGAAGGTGAGCAGTGGGCTGGACTCCTTGGTGCTGGGGGAGGCCCAGATCCTGTCGCAGGCAGAGGGGTCACAACTGGATGCGTGAAATCGGGTCTCCTCCCGGTCAAAGACTTTGTGCATTGGTTGTTTCACCGGTTCACGGGGCTTGTGTGGACTTCCTTCCGCCAGCATTGTGCTCCCTACATTGATGATCAGTCCACTAGCAACTGCTTGCCTGCAGTTCTGCCATGGCACTCAGATGCGAAGGCACACACTCAAGACAGGTTGTGTTACAGACGAATTGGGCTCGCATGATATGTGTTTGCTGGGCCATGCCGCCACAGCACATCATCAGAGGCTGCAAGCAAAACAATTGGGTTGCTTCAAAATGGCAGGCCCCCCCAGAAGAAAAAGAAGAAGAAGAAAAACACAAGTTGGCATCCTTTTGGTTCCTTTTCCAAGCCCCCCAAAACGGCACCTCACAAAAGACAAAGCGAGGTTGATTCGGTCCCCTAGGAATTCGCCAGGTGAAGGCCTGTCACGAGTCAAAGCCTCAGAGCCTCAGGCAGAGTCGAGCAGCTATTTGATGTCTAGGGCTGGGGGGTCAGAAATTAGGTGGTCTTCCCCTTACTTTGGCCACTTGGGGTGAACCCATGAAACAGGTCAAGGAATGTGGGGCAGCTGTTCTCTTCCAGGCGCCTGCGTGAAGCTCAGGCATCATTCAACCAGTGCCACTCCCCCCAGGTTGTGTTTGCAAGATTTTCTGCGTGCACGCCAGGGCTTCTCGATGGTCCTCACTTCGCCATCCCAGAAAACGCCCCAAAGCGGGCCCTCGCAAAAAGCGAGGCATGCCATCCAGAGGCAGGAGGGCGAGCAGCTGGAAGGGTGCCGCCGGCGAAGTTAGCACGTGCAAAGCTGGCGGGGAGGTCATGGGACTGGTCGAAGGCATTGCTCGAGTGGTTTTGGAGTGAAGCAACCTTTGGGAGCTTTGCAGCCTTTAGGTTCAGAAGGCAATCGCCGCATGCGGCCTTGCCGGGTTTGCCTTCTTCACGTCAAATCCGTTTGTGTCTGTGTGTGTGTGGGTTTGTTCGCTGAAAGGTGGCTTTTCTTGCACTTCTGGGGGCCGATTAGCATTGATTCGGCACCCTGCCGGCCACCCTCGCAAGGCTCCTTGATCTTACTGTTCCGCGGCCACCAAATGCATTTTGAAGCAGGAAAGCCACAAGTAAATATGTTTCCATGAATGTTAGCAGCGCGATTGCGTGATTTAAGAGGCCTTCGCGGACATAAGGAACCCGCGTAGAGCGGTGAAACGGAAGGCTGTGAAGCATTGTTCACGCCTACAGCCTTTCTTCAGCTCTCGTCTCAACAATCTACGCATATCAACTGCATGCAGCGTTGTCTCTTCGGTGTTCTCTTACATTATGTTGGGCCTGTTCGGTTTGCTTTCATGATTCATGCAGGTCCTCATGTTTTTGTGCCTTTCAGAAGGATGTCGGGAGTTTCCAGGCATGTAGGCTCAGCGGCTTTGCAAGCTTTAGCTGAAGCTCGGCGTGCTGGTGTTCCATGTTTGGCTCCTTGTTTAGCTTCATACTATGCCACTGCTCTACGTTGGTCCAATTCGACTTGCAGCTTAAACAGTGTTCGTGCCCTGCTGCTGTGTTTTCCTCTTTTGCGGTTTCGATTGGATGCACGATTCACAGCCCCATGCCCGGCAATGGATGCTTCAGGTGCGGCGGAAAGATCGTGGCCAAGATGCTGAATGCAGCGCTTGATTCTCAGCCATGCTCCAATTGAGCCGTGGTCAAAGGGCCTGATCACATGGGGTAGATGTGTGTGTGTGTGTATATATATATATATATATATATTATATTGTATGTATCCACAGCTGATTCGGCCCAAACGAGCTCAAAAAGAGCAAATGCCAGCTTCATCGAAATCAAGGTGGATGGACTAGGCCTTTTGCTTCTCACGCCCCAATACAGGAACGAAGGTTCAGCCATGAAAGGTCCGATTTGGAGCATGTTCCGACCGAGCCGCCAAAGTTCAAGCAACGTCCACCCTCAAAAGGCCAAACGACGGCAAACTTGCCGTGTTCAGCCGTGAAAAGTTCAATGCGCAAGCGACTGTTGGGCGCTTTCGATTCGCACGCGCATGCTCCAGCTCAAAAGTAGTGTACCAAGTACGCCTCTCTTTCAAGCGTGAATTAGAAGCACTTGATATTGGCAATTGATTTGCGAGGTAGACTATTAACTTTAAAAAGCACTACAATCCGAGGTACAAGATGTGATTTATTGTAGATCGTCTATACAGACGTACAAGTACCATTACGCATAGTACATGTACACCTACCTACTGTACGTGTACACATACGTATTGTACGTGTACATATATATATATATACATGTATATATATTCGTATAACTACAAGCATATGCTTGTTTACATACACTTACACGATATGTAGACATATATATATACACATATATACACATGTATTAATATATATATATATATATATGCACATAGTCATGAGCCTTATGATGAGGATTGTGGCTTCTATGAAACATGACTGTCGCGCGCAGCAGGAATATTGAGTGGGGCACGTGCAAGGGCTGGTGAGCTTGCGCGGATACAATTCAAGACGGTTTGCTTTGCTAGCATTTGGTCAAGGCTTCGAGTCCCGAACATGCAAGAACCTTTTCGAGCTTTCATTTTTGAGGGGACTGTTCACAGTCCTTCAAAGCAGCGTCTTTGTCACTCTCGTTTGTCTTTGGTTTCCGGATTCAGCCGGCAGGATCCGCATGGGCAAGATGGTCCGCACTCGCACGAAGATTGGCAAGGGCTGGCAGCTCAGGTCAGCCTTGGATTTTTTCGGGTCCAAGGGATTTCCTCGGGGGTAATAGGATATAGTTTACTAGAGGAAAAAGAACCCCAGGAGCTTTGTTTCCCTGGTTTGTCAGTGCAACCATGGCTGTCCCAAGGATCGGTGTCTGTGTCCAGTGCTGCTGTGGAGCTGATGATGTCGAGGCCAAGTTGGGTTGCGGGAGGCTTGCAAGTTGCTGCTTGCGGTTTGAGTGATTGGAAGGTTGGACATGCGGTGAGGATGTGAGGACGATGTGGACACCCGGGTTGTGTTTATGTCAGACACGGGGATTTCAGACATCTTCACGCGAGAAGCATGCGACGCGCCGCCAACATTTTGCGGTAGCCTGGATTCAGGGCGATGCAGGATCTGCGGAAGCCGGCGAGCAAGCTCCACGCGGCTCGGCTCACGTTTGCTTTGTGAAGAATGTGGAAACCGAAAGCATGAAAAACTCTTATAGTATAGCCTTATAGATGTCCTGAAGTCTTGCGAAATCTTTGCGGTGCGGCTATGCGAAGTGGTGTCGAACTGCAAAATTACTAAGAGTTATGCAATGGCGACACACAAATAAATAGTTGCCTACCGGGGCATGGAAGGAAATTCCGAGGCACTTCACAGCCGAGGTATTTGTCTTCTTTCTGCAGTGCCTGTGCAACTCAAACTTGGCAGGGTCCCATACGGAAACAGTGTGAACAAGACTAGAACAGTTCGGTCTCTCAGAGGCAAGCCGTTTTGACCTTGACAGCAGCACGTTCTGGTGTGCCGTGTGTTCAAGCTGGCCATTTTGTTACATGCCGGAAGTGCCGTGCCGGTAGTGGTTTCCCGGTGTAGCATCCCGCTACGGAGCACGGAATATGTTGTGTCTCTCCATTTTGAACAACCCAGGACTATGGAACCGTTACTCGGACAGTATAAAACCTAGCCGGACCAACGAAAATGGGGGTTCTCAGGTACCACCGCTACCGCTCAAGCCGTCCCGTGGAACCTCAAGATCGTCCGGTGAACAACCCAGACAAGTGGATTGCCCTTTGAGAAGAGTTGTTTTGCTATGTATTCACTGAGACTCTCCTTATGCCGCAGAGGCACCGCGTAGTCAATGCTGGCGGGGAATACGATCGCACATTCGGTCCACGTAGGCTGCTCAAGAAAATCCCTCTCAGGCAGGTTCGCGTAGGCATGGCCTGCCTTCAAACTTGAAGTCTGCGCAGGCACTCCGCATAGGCGCTTGTTGGGCCCGCATCCTTCCATTGTACACGCTGAGGCTACGTAGGCATAGTTTTCAACGTATAGGGCTGCTACTGATACCCGCAAAACAACTCTGCTTGTTTCCAAAATGAGACGGGAATCACCAGGCAAGTGCTCTGGGGCTTTACTTTTGAGGCTTTCAGCAGGAGAGGATCATGCCTTTCGAGTTCAAGTGAGCCTGAACTTTTAGGCGAGGTACAGGACTAGGCACAGTTGATCAGAGCCTCCTGGAAGCATACATGTTCTTGAAGCCACAGTGGGAGGCTACAGGAGTGTGGGCTGTGCCTCGAATTGGTTTTGCCTTCGCCTTCCAAGGTGTGCATCATTGGTGCAGGCAAGATGTCAAGGTGCTCCGGCTGCCTGTTTACCGTGTGCTCAACGTATATACCTCTGGCGTTTTGAAAGACAGCTTTGGAGTATTTGTACGTCAATCCAAGAAGCTCGGACGTGTCTTCAAATAGGCATGGCGTGTTGCTTGCGATGCAAGCAGCTCAAGACGACTCTCGATACGATTGCGATTGTTGCTTGAAGCTTAAATCACAATCGAGGTTCCTGCAGCCAAAGTCGACGGGCTCGCAGTGTTGTCATGGCAGCGTCAGAGCACTCTTTCTTTGATAGATCCCCTGGGTTCCACGCACGACAAGAACAGGCATGTTGAACTGTTGTTCCAGACTGAACTCCCCAACAAGTTTTGTCAGGATAGCTAGAACGCGTTGTTGTCGATATGTGTTGTCCATGCAGATGGAGCGGCTAAGGAATTGCCATACGGTGGCCCAGCTTCTTGGGTCAAAATGCAAGGCCCTTGCTGGCAACTTGTTGAAGCCTTGTTCCTTGTTCATTCCTTGCGACTAATAGTTTTGACCAACACCCCACTGTTCGCAGAGTTTGCGCTTTGATGGTGCTTCTTTGCAGATGCCAGGCTTTTGCTCTTGGCGCTCTTCAGCAAGCACCCAGACATCAAGGTGCTGAAGTCCAGTCAAGCCCAGCTCTCGTTCGCTAAGACGTTGTTGTTGTTGTTTTTTGGGAGATCCTCGATTCACACAGCTGTCATTTCCACCATCGGTCTGACGCTTTGGCCCGCGCTGAACCTCGCCAGGTGACTCTGGTGAACCGATCTGTGGACAAGGCCCAGGAGGTGCTGGATGATGAGATGGTCGAAGCCTAAGCTTGTGGCCGCAATTGCGTGTGTGCGCTTTGTTGGAGGGTACAGGGTTTGCAAGGGATTGATTTCAATGACTGTCACATTCGGTCACAGTGAGCTGATAGTTCTCGATTGAAAGGCATATATGTCAAGTTTGGGCGTTTGGAAACTTGACGGGGAAAGGGGCAGCTTGACCGCCGTTGCGACGTTGCATCACGGCAATAAAATGCCCGCGGCTGTGAACGAAGCTTTGTAGCACAGTTTCACCTTCCAGATACATTGGACATGGTCCTTTTCGATCCGGCTAAAAAGTCCCAGATGCTTCGGCAGCATAGGCAACCTGTGTGACATCACCATTGCTGACGGTTGCATGTTGATCCACTTGATTCTGGAGAAAATAACAACCAAAGTGCATGTTTGTTGCTGGTAACAACATGAAATATATAGATTTTCTCGATTCACTGCCCAACAGAACTACGACTGCATTATCAACAGAGGAGCGTCCTACAAGCCCCAGGAATATCCCAGCAGCGATGATATGCTTTTCTTCATTGGAGCTTCCGGTTGTGCTTGCCTGTTTACAGCAAGAACAGCGAGACAAGATTAATCATGTTGCATGTGCAAGAAAGATGCCAGGTGCCGAGGTGTTTAATTGTAAACGCTTCGTGTGGCCCGCCTCGGCCAGTCCGCTTTTGGCTGGCTTTGAGGTATACATTGTGCTTTAGTTTGCCTTGAAGTCTTGTGTTTGCGTGAGCTGGTTTCCAAGGCAGAGGGTGGGTGAATTTGACTGGTTTCTGGGGAGGGGGATTTTGCCGGTTTCTGGACGGATTTGGCCGGAGTTGGGCCTGTTTTAAAGGGGATTGGTTTCCCTTTAATACCCCCAACAAGTGGGTACCCTCAAAAAGGACATGCCCATTATTGTGCTACCTTCCATCCAACAATCATGGAAGCTGAATCCGAAGGCGTGGAAAGACTATTTTCCTTTTCGGGCACCGGCCAGACCCCCCTCTCTGCATGTTGGAAAGAGGGTCTCAACTATGACAGGTTTCTAGAGGGGAGTTTGGTCAGTTTCTGCTCTCTTTTTTTTTGTGGGGGGGGGGATAGGTTGCTGGAAGGGAGTTTCACCGGTTTAAAAGGGATTTTTTGGCCGGAGTTGGACAGGCTTTGAGAGGGGCAATTTGACCGGAGACAAGAGGGTGCCGGAGGGGCGGAATTGACTGGTTTGTGAGGGGGGCGCAAAATCCCTTTCTTGAAGGGCGGACTTGAGGCAGCTGGAGCAGGGGTGTTGGCTGCGCGATAGGGGGGGACCAATTTCTTGTGCAGGATAAAACGGTTCTCTTAGACAAGATTTGCATGTGCAAGAAAGATGCCAGGTGCGGAAGTGTTGAACTCTCTTATGGACATTTGCTCAGTTTTGGACATGGCAAATTTCTAGCAGTATGTTTGATCTGAAGATTTGTGATCACGACCACGGGTACCTGAAAGCGCTGGACTATCGGCAACGCCGAGTGTTTGAACTGCACGGTGCCTAACCTACAAAGGCTTTCCGGGTTCACACCTGATCTTGCCTGCTCCACGCAGTCAACTCAGCCAAGCGTTGGCAGCCAACCGAACACAGCTAAAACCCTGCATGAATTTGCTGAAAAGGGGCTGGTGGACATACCTCCCCTCCCATTCACATTCTTCCCATGCCTTTGACCCCCTAAAACCAAACGAAGCTTGGCAAGGTGGTCAAAACCGGCTTATCCAGTGGCTCTGAGCACCCTGGTCATCAAGGCATGCTGCATCTCCCAAGATGAAGCTGCGATTCGTCAATTCCGAATAAACAGGATTTCATGCCAGGGCTCTATGCATGCCTTTGATCTCAGGTGAAGAACCGCGGTGGCGTCAACGCCACGGTGGCGCCACTGGCAGTGCCCCTAGTGCTGAAGCCATCGGTCGCGCGTGAGACCTGGTGCTCATTGCCTGGCACATTCAGCATACCAGATTTGCGTAGGAGCCTCGTGAATTTGAAAGTGGTGGTTTTGACCATCCGGGTCAGTGCTCTTGAGCAGCCGTGTTGAATCAGTTCCAGAGCAGCTACTGGCAGGGGATGGTGATTTAGTTGACTCAATTGACTCGTTTGCAGTTTAGAGGGTAGCTGCTTCTTCCAACGAGTCCAACGAGTTTGACTCTGTGCAGGATAATCAGAGAACAGGGCGTGAACAAGCATACGTGGCAGATCCCTTGCAAAACTCGCACGTTACATTGCACAGGGCAACCTTGGAGACTATTTTTGGCATTGCGTGGCACCAATCGATATATTTTTGGCCCAGGCACAACTCGAAGTGACTAAACTCGGTGCAGACGTTAACCAACGCACGTTGAGTTTGCATAGTTGTATTAGCTGCGTGCTGCATGCCGATTGACCGGTGAAAATCAGCTTCTCTGCCTAAGCCATTTCTCCTAGGCCTTTTCTAAATGTTGCGTGTGCGTTTGCAAAAATTGGCTGCTCTGAATGGAGCACCCTTCTCGACGTGCTCAGCCATCCCAGGATCAGATGTTCGATGTGATGCGCGAGAGCGATGTAACCTTCACGGCAACTGGCAGCAAGGCTGGGGCCAGACCATGGGTATGTCAGGTGATATGACATGTGATAATGCTGATCCGTTGCTGACACGGTCCTCTATCACTGAGGGGTCAGAATGATAGCAACCAACTGCTGTTTGCAAAATTATGTCCAAAACGGCACCATGGGGAGTGAGCTGATTTTGTTTGCACCTAGTGAACCCAGCAAAATCACAAGACAGACCTCATTGCTATGCTCCCTTGCAGCACGTGGTCGGGTGGGAGAAGTGCAAAACCGGACCTCTCCCAGCGGTAACTGGTCCTATTGGCTGCCTCCAGAACGAGATTCCCCATCTCGACACACACTACGACTCCGCCCCCACCTTTATACGGCCCTACAGTCTGCTTCTCCACCATGCATTTGATCAGCCCAAGTTTCGCAGGGAATGTAGATGCTTTGCACTTTCGCTTTGCAACCTGACTCAATCACCGCTAGAGACGGCAACAAATCTATCTAACCACTTGCTGGGCGCCTGCTCTGAAGGCATCTTGGACATCGAATCGCTCACAACTGGCGTGCCAGTACGTGCGCAGGTGCCCATCATCTATGCAAAGGATCTGCAGAACTTAGAGAAGAACCTCATGCTGCGGCCTTCAGAATCCTTGTGGGTAAGGACTGTTACACCCAGCGAAGACGTGATGTGTGGTGTGAAAAAATTGGGCGATTGTGTGATCTCATGTGAGGTTCATGATAGGTCATGAGGTGCTGGTTGTGATCTTCCTGAGAAGCTCCACACGCGCCACTTCCACACGTCGCTTTGCGGCTAACCTTGTAAAGGACCCTATGTACCTCAGACAATGTTGAAGGAGTGTTCAGGTCTGAGCTGAGTGATGACTGATACTATCAGAGTTCGAGCGCGAATTTGATATCCCAGATGCTGTGAATCAATTGAATGTTTGACATGATGTTGGTCAGGCGTAGCCGAATTGCACTTAGCTCATGGCCAACACCACCTAGGAAAACGTGTTTTCCTCGCTTTCTTCATGTCCACTGGCATTCTTGAAACGGTTTCCCTTTGGGTTTCCCTCACCAACCACACACTCCGGGCGGCCGCTCGCAGTTGGAGATGTTCGGCTTGAGGCTGGTGGACATCTCTGTGCCGTTGAACGTGGCCTCGGATTGCACGGAGGTTCGTTATCGGGCTTTGGTTTGCGGGCATGCGGCGCGTGAAGAACAAAGAGTCCCAAGATTGGCGGCGTTTGCGTGGGCTTCCCTTGAAAAGGTGAAAAGGGTTCCAGAGAAAAAGAAGCACATGAGTCATATGAGGTTCGGGCCACATGCCCGATATTCCTGGGACATTGTGCGAGGAGGGGGAGTTGGAACGTGGCAGGGAGCAATGGGCATTCATAGACGTCCCGTTGTAATTTCTTGCCGAAGTTCTTTGAGCAGGTACTGACACCTGATGCTTGAGAGAGAAGCCAAAGGCTGTATTTACTTTTGCGGCCACGACTAGAGAGTACACAGACTCCGCATGCATTCTCGCTTTCGGCAGTTGTGCATGTGTGTGTTTCTGTTTGTGTTTGTGTTTGTGAAACCCAGGCTTTCACCAAGAGCAATGCACTGAGCATAGTCTCTCAGAATACAGCTGCTTCGCCAGATGCTGGTAGAGCATCATGAGACTAACCAGCTGGACCGAGTTTTGCAACAAATCCCAGTGGCTGGAAACCCCTTGGCAGATGACTGTTAGAGTAGGCACAGTACTGGGTCGAGCCCCCGTCGGGAAAAGTGGGGTTGATACGGGAAGTGAGGGCCCATGGCTCATGGCCTTCCAGGCCCAACGAGTCACTTCCTACTCCGTGGATGACCTCAAGAAGGTGTCGCTTCGGTTGATTCTCGAGATGCAAGTGAAGCAACCACATCCAACCACAAACCCCGCCGATGTGCGGTAATTTAATTTGCAGGGTTTTGTTCCTCTACTTGTTTAGGTCATGCATAGCAGTTGGCTCTTCTCGGCCTGAGCTCACTCTGGCCTAAACAGAAAGACGCATGTCAAAGTGAGGGACCAGTTGTTTAGTTGTTGGATGGAGTTGAGGGTCATCACAAAGAGAATCGCTGCTGTGATGCGTCGAACTATACCGTGATATTTAGCTGGTCGGAGAGAACACGCGTGGCCCTGATGACAAATGACAAGGCTTAGGCAAACCAGAGAAACCCGCGCTTGCTGGGAGACAGCGGCAGGTAACCCTCACAACACAGTAAGAACAACACCCTTGAACAGTCTCAGAGGGAACTCATCACTTTAACTGCAAGTCAAATTTGCTGGTAGTTTGTTACGGAGTTTACCATATTACGTTGCTTGGGCTGGCGGACGCAGATTCGGCAAACAGTATTTAGCAAATAGTTCCTCAAAGCTCGATGGATTGTCTCAACAGCAATAATGCCTTGTGTGCAACCCGGCGACTGTCTGCCAATCTGACTGCTTGGGGACCGCCGGACCACCGCCCGGCAGCCTCAGAATAAGGTAAAACTGTAAGGAAGAGAGAGCTCCGCGCTTAGTGCAAGCTCATCGAGTCCCTGTGAAGGGCAGCGTTTCTACAAAATATTGCTGGGAATCCTTCCCTTGGCATTCGCAAGTATTTGGCCGGCCGTATTTGGCCGCGGCAGGTGGTCGAGGCGAATGCCTCAAAGCGGCAAGCAGAAGTCGAGAAGGCGGGCTGAGAGGGGTGATGTAGCACACGGTGCAGTGTTGGCTTGAGCTCAGGATTGAAATGCAATCGGCCAGGGAGCTGAATTCCCCGGAAAATCGGGAATCAACAGGTTATTTTTCCATACGTTGGTATGCTGCACATGCGGAGCTGCGCAGGCGAAGAAGCTAATTGCGGAGGAGGTTAGGAAGTTCAAGTGCTGGCAGGCGCTGGGCGCGGGACGCTGGGCGCTGGACGCTGGGGTTGTTGTGACGTTGCAGTCAGGTTGTTCCAAAGTGCAGAGCCATCGCAGCAAGAGAAGTGGGTTTTGTTCGCGGTTATAACTTCCTCCGCGGATGGCCTGGTCCGGAAGCAGAGGGTGGCAAGAGTTAGGCCAACCCAGATGGACAGGCATGGATGACATTTTGCTGAGGGCAAGTGGATGTGGCAGAGTTGCTCCAGGGCCAAAGTCAGCGCAAGTTCAGTCCATTGCACAACGACTTCCTTAGCTTTACCTCTCAGGGCTCCAGGCGCCTTTGTACGCCGACTGGTTGATAGGTTATGGCGCCTCAGGTTCTTCCTGGCTTGCCGTCTCAGAATGTTCTGCAGGCACAAATTGATTGGCCACCAAGTCGATGCATTGGCATCAAGACTGTTGTGCTAGTGGGCGAATGAGCGACGCGAGCTGTTCAAGATGTGACAGGAACGGCGTTTGGATGCGAGCTGTGCGACTCATGACTCACCGTTAGGGTGCCCGCCAGGCCTCCCAGGGAGCCGTGCCCTACCTCGCAGCGCTGCAGGTGGAGTGGAGGGCATAAAAGAGAGACCGGGGTGGAACCAAACAAAGCTAATAAAAATAAGAGCATGTGGGAGATAGGGGTGTGGAAGATATTGCACTGTCTCAGGCTGGACTCTCTTTACTGGAGATATACACTGCTCTTCAACCTTGTGGCATGTGTTTGCAGTGATGAAGGCAGTGTATCCAGAGGAAACATGAAGTCAGAAAAGGACATTCACCCTAGATAAGTCGGTACGACGTTCATCAATCAGACGCAACAACCACCAACAGGTGGCTGAAGTGAAGATATCCAGTGGCAAATATGCGCCATGTTTGATGAATTTCACATGTTACTATGATTTTCTTGCGGCTGCGCCAAGCTCGGGTTTGCGGGTGTGTGTTTGTGGGTTGCCTTGAGATGGGCAGCTGTTTGATTGACGCCTGGGGTCTCAGTGAGGGCTGCGTGTAAGCCTCATTGTGTGGCAATGCAAGGCCAAAGGCACTGCGAAGGCTTCATTGCTTGATTTGATTCAAAGAGAACAGTTGAACTTTTTAGATTAGGATTTAAGATTTGAGCCAGCATACAGGGACCTTTTTGGCTGGGTCCTGGACACGCGCTATTTGAGCCCGACCTCATTACCGTTGGCTCATGGCCCGTTTGCTGGTCCACAGTCAATGTCGTGAAGGACATGGGGCCCAAACTCCACATGAGCCACGTGCTCAAAACGCGGGTGGATGAAGGTTAGTAAGGGACCATCCCAGCCATAAATAGCAGCGGATATCCGCCTTGGTATTTCCTTACATGGTTCCAGGTCAACCATTTTAACACCGGGTTTTGATTGTAACTCACATCTTCCACAGCCAAGCCGAAACCAGCCGCCGGCACATGTACCTGGCCCTACTGCCGCTTCCGCACGCAGGCCATGGCTGAGAGGATCCGCCGAGAGGAGTATGCAAAGATGGAGCACAAGCTTCAGGCGAGCGCCTGCGTTGGCTTCGGGTTGCGTCAACGCAACCAAATCCCGATTCAGAGTTTCCAAAAGAACTAACCTTGGGCCAACCGCTCAGGAGGGATCCAAGTTTCTGCGAGCTTGTCAATCGGCCATTTCAGTTTCGCGGATACTGGGTGGGTTCGAAAATGGCCGTTTTCTTCTTGGTTCCTCAAACTTCACCAGCATGTTGTGTCCAGGTTAAACTTATCAACGCCATACACGTTTAGAGGATAACCTGCTGCGATCGCTGTCTAGCAATAGACGCCTGAGGCTGGCAACCGTTGTGTTTGAAGTCGATAGCATCAACCTTCCGATAGAGACAGACACAGAGTGATTTGACATTTGGAGTCCCATCTTCGGGATCAGCACCCAAATTGGTAATGATTCGGGGCAATAATTCGGGGTTCGTGTTTATAAAGTCCCTGGTTGGACTAGCCGGTTGCTTGGCAACTCTACTCAACCTGTCCCTGCACAAGCCTGTGTCCGACACGTTCACGTGCAGTGCAAGGTTTGTGCTCGTGTGCATTTTGCTCGTACTCGTTTGTTTAACAGTTATGCTTGTGTGAGTAAAAAAGGACACTGAGAGCAAGGCAAATATGCAGTGTCGTCTCCAAGAAACTGGCTAGCATAGGTCACAAATGCGGAATTGTCAAGTAGTATTCCTGCTTGGAAAGCTTGGGATGTATGCATTGCTTAGTGAATAAAGTAGAGTAACCCAAAGCGTGTCAACGGCATGTCAACCGCGAAGAACAATAATCAAGGAAAAACCTCGCGCCCGAATTTGTTGGGACGAAAGTCTTGCCACGCTCAGCCGCTCAGCCGGCAGGGCCTGCAGGACAAGGAGAAGGAGGCCTTGGACAAGCTGACAAGGCTTCGGGGTATAGGAAGCTTGCCGGCATCGAGCTCCCTGGTCATGCGTTACACTCTCGTTTGCATGCCACAGTGATTCCTCTGGAAGCCAAGCTGACAGGCACGGGTTCCGACAAGGAACAAGAACTTCTCTTGCGGGGCATACTTTTAAGATACTGCATATTTGCAGCCCTGTGTGGGGGGATGTTTGATTGGCGCAAGGCACATTGTCGACCAGCTGTTCCGCCCTGTCTACTATTCCATGAAGGCGGGCCGGAACAGCACGGAAGGTCTGCAGCTGGGACACGCTCACACATGATACCCCTTGTCTCACTGATCTCGCTACAGGCTTTAGACGCGGAGAGGCATCTAAAGCCTTCAGAACTTCACAAAATCCACACATGCTTGCGCACGTGATGTCACATGATATTATTGCGATGTTAATGTGTTGACTGATCATAGGAAGCAAAAAGAGCCTAGGCCTTGCTTGGCTCAATGGAATGCTGCAAGTCCTCGCTCATGCTCTTGCATGAACAACTGTGAAGAGTTTGTTGTTGGAAAGCATAGATGAAGTTGGGCTCTGCGGCTTAACTCCAGGTGCCAATGTTTAGCCCATCAAGCCAAACGGAAGGCTTGCGCTGTGTTCAAGATGTGCTGGATGGCGTGGTCCCGATTTTCTTGGTTCAAGGACTTGCCAGAGAGATGGAAGTCCCAAGATCGCTGGCCGGATGCTGATCGGATTGCTTGATGGAAGTCAACATGTGGCACAGCAGAGGAGGCCCTCAGACTGTCCAAAGCAAAGGAGTGGCCCCCAAAGACGTGAACTGGTTGGTTGACATTATTGTGGCCGTGTCTGCGTGCGGCTGTATGATCACAAGACAGCCGTGCAATTAGAAAACTTGCAAGAGGGTGTTTTTGGTTGCCAAAGCGGGCCTGTATTGTGTTGTCATCTATTTCTTCGGTAGCCCGGATCTCGCAGCTCTTCCGAGTTGCCACTTGAGCGTGACACCATGCTCCCGGTTTGCTAGTCTGCTTTGAGGGCTCCTACCCAACAGCAGGTGACCAAAACAGAAGTGGACTTCCCCTTAAAAAGAAAGAAAGAAGGAAAAAACACGGCCAACATGTGCAGCTCAAAGCATAGAGCACAAAGGGTGTCTCTATAGAACTTGGCCATGGCGAGCGGCTTGGGAGGCCGGGTGACTGGGGAGTGTAGAGCCTGTCACTGGGTAGCCGAGTAGATCGCTCGGTAGGCCGCCCTCTGGAACACAACAAAGCAAGACATGTCCTGAGTAACACGTGGTGAGCTTGTCTTTGTTGAATTTGGAAACTAGCTCCTGAGTTCGACTGTATGCCTCTCAATGATTAATGTGGCCTAGGCGCGTGTTGCACAACCTCCTTGCGAATGGGGATCCAATAGAGGCGGTTGTATCGAATGGAGCCAAAGAGTCTCCATCAAGTGCCGACAGCAGCTCCAAGGATCACAAACTTGATTCCATGTGGACGCCCGAACTCGGCGCAACGGAGGGTTCCAGTACTCCTGCCCACTGAGCCTGTTTGCCACTACTTTTGCAGCAAGCTTTCGCCAAGCTTGCCTGAATCGATTGTGTGCGTTTCAGAAGTTGTCGCCTTACCTGGAGGTTTTCTGCAGCAGTCCAGGCACTCGCACTTTGCCACTCCCCGCTTCTGGGCAGCAAATGCCAGGTTTGCGTGAGTCAGTGTTTGCAAGTAACGCCGCCGACGCAACAGAAAGGGAACAGTAAGATGTGCCACGGAACCAATTCGCAACACCAGTCATGTGCTCAGAGCTCAGCAATTAATTATTTCTGTGTTCTTGTGTTCTTCGCATTCAATTCTATATTCGGGGTGTGCTGCTTTTGCGATGTTTGCTGAAAAACACTTCTTCGCAAAGTTTAGATTCAGGGAATTATCAGATGTTTGCCTCACTCAGAATATCCAGTGCCAGTGGGGTGTGGTGCCGCTTGCTGAGGCCGGCGGCATCGGAGCAAGGGGCCGCCGGACCCCTGGGATCCGCCCACGCCGCTGAAGCAAAAACAGGACTCTGCGATTCAGGTGTCAACTGATACCCCGCTGTGCATGCGGAATCACGTGCCCTTGCCACCCTTTCGGCTCTTGTAGGGGTTTTCTTGGGTAATTCACTCGCTTGAGATGGCTGACCGAGCCTGAGCTTCCCAGAGGTGAAGACCACCTCATCCCTTGCGTCGTTGGAAAAGCATCGTGAACGCCAGACTGTTGCATGGACCCGCTGCCTTTGTCGCGACTCACACGGCCACGGTTTGGATCGCACAGGGTTACCACTTGGTAACAGCTGACGCTTGGATCTCCGTCGCTAAGCGGTGCAACTTCTCCCTGTCCCTCTTCCGAGGCGACCATGAGCAAAGATGGCCCCATCCCGCAGTGGGATGGATCAGCGAAGACCTGGCGACGGTACACTCGTGAAGTCGCCTGGTGGGTGCACATCACAAGAGACGCTAAGCAACCTCTCCGGCCCTGCCAGGCTTTTGGCCATGTCTCGGCCGCTCTACATCTTCGACAACTCGGATGGCACGAAGGACCTGCTTCGCAAGGTAACGGCATTGCCGCTGGTTAGGCAGAGCCTTCCGAACACGGCGGCGATCTGCGCTCAGTATTTGAACTTCCGCCGCCAGCCTCACGAGCTCCTTCCTCATCCGCGAGACATCGGGCTACACTGAGGTCGCCGAGGCTGATCAGGCTCTACGAGGAGCAGATCGGCATCAAGCAGGGAGAACAAGGACTTTGGCTGGTGTGGACGACAACGTCTGGGATTCCTGGCAGAAATGAGACGAAGGCCCAACTGAATCAGAAGAACTTTCAGCTGCCGAAGCCCGAGAAGAAGCTCAAGATGGTGATAGCTCTCAAGATGCTGCATCTGGAGCCCAGGCCTGAAGCCGCTCCTTGCCCCGGAACTGCAACCATGGAAGGAGTGGCCCAGTGGACCACAACCACTGGATGAGATGACCTTGGCCGACTCCGTCTCTTCTTCAAGCCGCAAGCCTCACAAACAAGGAGAAGCGCGACATTTCGCAACCGCATGGACTGTGCCTCCATCGGTCAGGCCTTGCAGATGCTGCGGGATAAGCATCTACTTGGTCATCGCCATCAGCACCTCACCTTCTTCATGCACAAGAACAATCTCCTCATCCTAAAGGATCGATGGCTACGATGGCGAGAGCTGGTGGTCCTCCGATTCGATTGGTCTAAGTGGGCAGCTGATGAGTGCACCTACACTTCAGCCCCGCCGGAGGACTACAACGCCGCCCTTGTAAACGCGTCGGATCGCGAGCTCGTTGCTGAACAGCTTGCTCAGGAAGCTACCCATGCCTGGAGTGAAGCCAAGCGTGCAACTACTGCGCTACACCGCGATCGTGGCTTCCATGGCAAGGGCAAGTCCAAGCGTGTGAACAGCGGTGGCAATCACTTTGCTCGTGACTGACCCAATCGCCGACAGAATCCACCTGATCCACGTGCACCCCTCGGCTCCAAAGGCAAGAGCAACTTCATCACGGACCCTTACTACGAGCAGAAGGGCGCAGGCAAGCACTCCCACCTCATGCATGGCGCCACCTTACTGACTTCGCCAAAACCATAAGGGGCACTCTTGGATATTAGGGAGTCTTCACCAAAGGACACCGCAATCCCCACAATCACACGCATGTGCGAGCACTGGGTCAAGGGGAACGCCAGCAATGTGAATCACAAGTGTTAGAATTTGGCCCCATGACCTTTCAGTTGGAATTCTTGTTGGTCATGGCGACGCGGCATCCATCAATCCGGCAAGGAAGAGTCATAGCCCGTGCGGATGAGTTTGTCTTGAAGGCGAAGTACTGGTTGCTGTTCCCAGCCAGAGCATGGATGGGCCCACTCCCAGTAGATGCTGAGGTTCTCGTCAAACTTCAGGGCATTGAAGGTGGCTGCGCTTGTTCTTTCCATCGTTGGCTTTCAAGGAACCTCGAGAGATGTCAACCTTTGCAAAGAAAATCTCGCCCATCAAGCTTTAGTTGCGCTGCGTGTCCAACGGCACTGGTCATGAGCTGGAGGAGGTTGAGGCCAATAGGCTGCGGTAGCCGTTTCACTGAGGTTCCTCCCAGCAGAGTGTTCTATCATGTCAACGAGCGGCGTGTTGGACACGTTGGTCCCCGCAACGTGGGGGCCGTAGCATGGCCATTGGTCCTTCTAACATCGAGGCTCAAGATTAACCGGGCGACTCACATGTCGCTTGCGTTTGAGCTGATGCGCTTCGAAGGCGCATCTGCCCTTGCGTCACATCAAGTCCGCCGCAGCCTGCCATGATGTCCTGAGGGCTCGGCGTCAAAAACATCAAGCAGAAGGTTTCACTTCTCGACGGGCGTCTACAACCCAAGCTCGGCCGCATCACACCAACAAGCTGGAGCTTTGCCTTCCATATGCTCAAGTTGAAACGCAAAGCGAGCAGAGGTCCAAGCCATCCTGAAGAACCTGCGACTTCGGACCATCCTCTAATCCGATTGCAAACACCAGATGGATCTTCGAGAAGAGCGTGTTGACTGGGGCGAACGTCTGGCGTCTGGGAGGAATTCGATGTGGTGATCTACAACGAGTCACCGATGTTGGGCCTGAGCAGCACTCGTGCCGCTCTCCAAGCACTTCGAGAAGCGCTGCTGCGAACCAAATCAGAGCTGTGGCCAGCAACTACAACTTGACCGACGCTCTCACCAAGCAGAAGGCTGAATGCCGCCTTGGGCTCCTGAAGCACCTCAAGAGCAACTTGTGGAGCGTGGCCCGATGAGACCTTCGCCCCAGTCCGCAAGAGCCGAGGTCAAGGGCGCTTAGCCAAAGGATGTTGAGGGTGCCCAGCGGTCATCAGCTGAGATAGGTTTTTGGCCGGCGCGATTCAGGTGTCAACTGATGCTTGCTGTGCATGCGGAATCACGTGCCCTTGCCACCCTTTCGGCTCTTGTAGGGACCCTGTGGTGATTCACACACTTCGACCGTGGCAGACCACCTCATCTCCTGCTTCGTTGGAAAAGCATCGTGAACGCCAGAACGTTGCAGACTCCTGGATATTTCACACGTTCCGAAGTTGTTTGGATGCCTTGCTTGCGAAGCTCCCCGAATCAACATCATGCCTGTTGCCCTCGAGCCGCTGAGTCCGTGCTGGTCCCACTGACGGGTGCACGGCCACAGGAGAAGCACGCTGAGTTGGCAACTCCAGCAAAGGTGTCCGAGGCAATTCCTCAGGCGCGGGCAAGGTGACCTGCGCAGCCTTGAAGACTGGCAAGCTTGAAAACGTCAACGGCTTTCAACGTGGACCCCTCAAAAGCGGTTGGAGGACACAACTTCCCATCCAAATGATGTCCACCCACAGATCCCCGATTAAATACCCAAATTACTTTTACTAGTCAGCTGAGTGAGACGATCCTTTTCTGCATCAGGTGAGGCTTGGACGTGTCCTTTGAGGAAGCCTGTTTACGGCAAGCGTGGCCTCCAGGTGAGGAAGTTGCAGCATTTTGGCTGCCTTGATTGCAAACGAAGGTCCGAGCAGCTTGACTCAAGCGGATCATGAGCAGCTGGCCAAACGCATCAATCAACCTGCATTGCGTGGGTGGTTTTGCGTCCTCCAAATTTGCGCACTCTTGTCTTGCCCAATGTTCTGTAGGTGCTGTCGCCATTTCTCTTGCGCAGAAGACAGGTTAATATGGTGTGCGCGCGTGCTTCACCACTCCACCAACAGGAAGCAAGCAACCAAAGATGCCAATGACCAACCATAGAGGGGCAAAGAATCAGACCTTCGCAAAAATCTGCGCTGCCATTTCTGAGAGGTGCCAGCCGGGCAGCCAGACAGAAGCCTGCTGAAGCGGCGGAGGGTGGTGCACCAGGTGCTCAAGGCCAGGTGGCCAGACGTTGGCTGCGAGGGTTAAGCGGTTGATCAGCAGTGTTGGGACTGGTGGAAACCAGGTTTCGCAGGCCGGATTCCAAAACTAAAGGCGGAGCATGATGGCCTCATTCAAAGTCCAGCTTGAGCAACAGCAAGGTTGGTAGAGAATAAGAAGAGGCTGAGTTCAGGAAGGAACCGTGAGTCCCAGTCAGTGGAGGACTGCTAGCAATCCGGGTCAAATCTCCCGCGTTTGTATATAGAGCGCAATTGGCGGGCAACTGCCCTGCCACCTGGATGCCTGTTGACACATTTTCTGGCCAGGCGGCTGAGGCAAAGATATCCCCGCGCAAGAAGCACGCCATTCACTTGCACACAAAGCCAGCGAAGAAGAACCTGGTGGTAGGCCGGAGACCGAAGCCAACGTCGCTGAAACTCGTTGGACGCGTCAACGCATGGCGATTTGTGTTTTGCCGTCGACCTTTGCTGGGTGTTTATGTTTGCTCCAGACATGGCCCGGCTCCGACAGGACTTCCCTTCAACTGGGAGGCGCTGCTGGAGGATAAGCTGCTTGGCTCCAAGCGGGGTCCCGGCGTTGCATCCCAGAAGAAGTACTGATGAAAGCTGGGTAGTACTGGCACCATCTTACCAACTGATCACGAAGGAGCGTGCTGGTGTGCAGCTGCCTGAAACTCTATTTGCGTTGTTTGGCGAACCGTGCCAAGCTGGCGCATGGCAACTTGGCTATGTGTTGATGGCATGCGGTTGTCGTATCCGTCTGTCTGTGGGTTTGTTTGCGCCTTTCAGCAAACCATGGACATGGCTGGCGTGAAACTGGCAGAGAGGTGGCTGTGAACATAGCCGTGAGTTTTGCGCTCTGAGGAAGAAACAGCAACAGGCAATCACCAAGCGTGCAGAGGAGCGGATTGAGACGGCGATTTCAAGTGTTTGGTTGAAGCAGGCTGGGGTTGTCACATGTTGTGGCTAGGGTTACTCACGGGCTGAGCGGCTGCACTCTACTGAAAGCAGCCGTCCAAAAGCAATGACCTGGGCAGGACGCGATCGACGTTGATTGACACCGAGTTCTGATGTAGTGTGTTTGAGCCCTTTTGAAAGGGCCACAGTGACCCATACGCCGTGGGAAGCTGGCAGAGTGCGAATTGCGCGCCCTGGTCGCCTCTCGGAGTTGCACAGTTGGCTTTGCCCGTAGGATGCACCGCAAGATGCGGCTTGCGCGACATTTGTCTCAAAAAATGAGGGGGCCCCTCCAACGTGTTGGTCTCATTGTGGTTCAGAAACAGCAGAAGGAGTTTACTATTTTGAGACGTACCCAAAATGGCCGTTGTAGCCGAACGTCGTTTTCAAGGAGTACACAGCCAGCCAAAAAGCCGCGTTGCTGCGGAATGGCATTGCCCGCCTTCGACCAAACCTGTTGGCGTGGGGGCACAAATATCCGGTGTCCAACCCTTGACAGCGATGGTTGGACCTGGGATTCATGGCACTCCACCAGACATGGGTGTTTCTCAAAATAAGGGCCCCTAAGAATCAGGGGATTCCTTGCGGTTTACCTTTAAAGCTATCCTGCAGGGGGTCCTTTTTTGAGTGAGCCCATATGGCTGTGGGTCAACACCAATTGGATCTCATTTTGGGATAAGTGAATTCACCACCCATTTTACTCTATTTTTAGTGGTTGGATTGGGATGTTCACGGGGGGTACGATTTGGGGTTTTGACCCATGGCCATATGTTGTTTTTTTTCTGCGGAGGTTGGGTTTCATCGCCAGGAAGAGGAGAAGCTGTCCGAGAAGCGCAGCAAGATCCTGGCGCCTACCCCGAAAGTTCGAATCAGCTGGCCCAGGTCGCCCTGGGAGCTTTGGGGTCCAGGTGTTATCCAACAAGCAGGCTGTGGGTCAAAACCCTGTACCCCTGGTGAACATCAAAATAGGCCCCAAACTGGAGGCATAGGTTATGACCTGGAACCTTGTTGTGGACGGTGTATTTTGTTTGAGGGGTTGCTTAGTTTTGTGTGGCTTCAGAGACTGCCGATGCCGCCAAATCAAGCCAACATTTGCCCTGAACCGACTGTAAATCAACACAACACACACCCTTGCTGAGCCTGAAATCACATCGCACCAAGCCCTTTGTTACTTTGATTCTTGACTACTCCAGGATGTGTTCGTCTTTGGTTGCTGATCAAGAGTTTCCTTGGACGATTTAACCCCATCAGAGAGGGCGATGAAGCCTTTGTCTCAGTCGCAATCTCAGTCACGTTCCTCCCAGATGCTGTCCAAGGCTCTCAAGAACATTTTTAGTGTGGCACTCAGATGACAGCTACTGCTTCGCGGCCATTCTGGCTGGCATGGAATTATTGAAAGCCCTTGTGGGATTTGGACCCTGGCAGGGATTCTCCTCCTATTTCGCTCCTAGGAGCTTGTAGCAATTCATTCTATTTCCTGAGACCTCACGGTAGGGCTCTCAGCAAAGCGGGTTGGGTTGGGTTGGGTTGGTTATTTGGGGATGATTAGTGGGGGTTGTTCATTGGGTTTTTTGGTGCTTAGTTAGGGGCAAACGTTCGCGTCTGAGGGCTGGAGCCCTTGTACAAGCGCGGACTCTTGACCAGCCCACAGGACTGCCATTTTTGCTTCGTCGCTGAGTCACGGCAAGGGAAGCCATCGTGCAACGCGCCTCACATGTTTCTTTGTTCAGCATCGAAAGCCTCAACAAGTGAAGGCAACACCACTCGCCAAAGCCGCGCAGGGTCACTCCCGGATCTCAAAGCAGATTTCTTTGTGAGTCAAAGTTCAAGTCCTTTGCCCACCGCCTGTTCTGAATCTTGATGTGCCTGTGCGAAGGGAATCTGGCCTCTCGCTTCTGCTTGGACCCTGGCCCATCCTGACCCCTTTCAGGTGTGAATAGTTTCGAGCAGAAACATGAGATTTGTTTGTTTGCCACATCCGATCTCAATGCCCTTCCAAGATTCGCTGGGTTCATCCCCCTATCTCGGAAATTGTGATATCCTTCACGCTGCCCTTGGCTACTATCATTCCTGTAGATGTGCAGTACAGGAGAAAAAGTTGCATGGTATGGAGCAAGCAATTCAGCCTGCGAAGCACATCAGTGGCTGTAGTTTGATGGGTAAAGCATCCGGATGCCCGTTTCGCGGGGCCCGTTTTGCCTGGGAATCACCGGCAACCTGTGCGCAAGAAGTGAGACGCCAAGAGCAACTGTGCAGAACTGGCTAGAATCCCCTGACGCCCAAAGCAAATCTGCCTGTGGTTCCTTCTCGCCCAAGTTATTTGAGGTGACTGAGACGTGACCTTGTCTCAGAACCACCACTTTTTGCCACTTGCTGTACCCGGATGTACACTCCCGATTCCCA